AGTGAGAAGTTATCAGAGATCAGCCATAATCTAATCGAGGCACTAAGGGCCTACTCCAGGCCTTATGAAATGGTCTGTGCTCATACTCAAAACGTTGTGCTTGTCTCCCAGTCAAATCAGTTCCAAAAGGAACCCTGGGCACAGTGGGAATTAAACAAGTCACTGTGGGATCAAGGGCAGGAGACAGGATCACATGGCAAGTCAACGCTGTGCCTTCTCGCAACTCGGTTTCCGGCATTGACAAATAGTTTCACTCCATTGTCAGTCCACAAAGTTGTCTAAAGGAGCGGTTCGAAATTCAAGCTGCTGTCCTGGGTTCGGGCCAATCTCCTCTGTGCCATATATTGAGTGGAGCAAGGAATTGCTAGCATAACTCTGCAGAGCAAAACCGCAACCGTCCCCTGTGTGCAGTATCAGCTGTGCCAACACAAGCTCAGTCTATTAACATACATCAACGTTATGCAGAGAGCTTGGATTATAATTGTACCATAATCAATGGACAAATATTTCTAAGTCCTCGTGGCCTGGAATGTATCCTGTCATTAAAACCAAGGGCCACGCCAGCTGATGGCCTTCAGTGACTTTGATGCCTTTCAACCTCTTCGAGCAATGGCCCTTAGTCACTAGTTCCTGCAAGTACTCAGTTCCTGTGACTCTAATTCCCAACTCACACCATCCGCGCAGGCTCACCAGGCCAGCGATCTCACAGTTTTAAAATTCTCACCCTTACTTTTGAATCTTTCCACAACCTAGGCCCCTCTGACTCTCTGTAATGCCCTTCACCTTTTGATACCCTCTGCAATCCTCCTATATATTATTCAGTGCCAACATACACTTGCTGTACAGTCATGACTGTGTGGCCAAATTTGTGGCCCCTGTGTCGTTGGCATGGATTCGACCCAATGCCACTCTGTGAACTAGCTGCCCGCACCCCTACCACCTTCCCCCTAACGCTGCTGGCTTTCCACCTTCAGGCACTGACCCAATTCCCTTTCGAAAATGATTATTTAATCTAACAGAGAACTCTATTAAAAGAAGACAGTTTTTCCACCCAGAGAGTGTTGAGCCTGCGGAACTGACTACCACAGAAAGCAGTTAAGGCCAAAACATTGTATGAGAAAAATTATGGAGGTGATGACCTGGTGGTATCATTGCTAGACTGTTATTCCATAAACTCAGCTAACGTTCTGTAGAGGGCTTCAAAATCTCCCCTCCCCCTACCGCATCCCAAAACCAGTCCAGCTCGTCCCTGCTTCCCTAACCTGTTCTTCCTCCCACCTATCCCCTCCTCCCACCTCAAGCCGCACCCCCATCTCCTACCGACTAACCTCATCCCGCCCCCTTGACTTGTCCGTCCTCCCTGGACTGACCTATCCCCTCCCTAACTCCCCACCTACACTCACCTTTACTGGCTCCATCCCTGCCTCTTCGACCTGTCTGTTTCCTCTCCACCTATCTTCTCCTCTATCCATCTTCTATCCGCCTCCCACTCTCTCCCTATTTATTTCAGAACCCCCTTCCCCTCCCCCTTTTCTGATGAAGGGTCTAGGCCCGAAATGTCAGCCTTTCTGCTCCTATGATGCTGTTTGGCCTGCTGTGTTCATCCAGCCCTGCACCTTGTTGTCTCTAATGTTCTGTAGACCTAGGTTCAAAGCCCACCACACCAAATGGTGGGATTTGAATTCAATTTATTAAAAAAAAAACCCTGGAATTAAGAATCTATGGATGACCATGAAACCGTTGTTGATTGTCACTAAAATCCATCTGGGGTTTAGCCATGCTCATCTGACTTACATGTGACTCCAGACCCACTCTCAAATGCCCTCTGAAATGGCTTCATAAGCCATTCAGTTCAAAGGCAGCTAGGGAAGGGCAATAAATGCTGGGCCAGCCAGCAACGCCCACATCCCACAAGTGAATGAAAAGAACCTTCAAGAAGAAGTTGGACATAATACTTGGGATCAGAGGATATGAGGGAAAAGCAGGAATAGGTTATTGAGTTGGATGATCAGACACGATCATGATGAATGAGCAAGCAGGCACAAAGGTCTGAATGATCTACTCCTGTTCCTATTTTCTATGTACCATGCCTCTGCACTATCCCCAGGGGCTTGATATCCTTCCTAAAGTGTTGTGCTCAGAAATGAATGCTCCAGCTGCTGCCTAAGCAGTGTTAAAGGTTTAGCATAACCTCTTTGCTTTTGTACACTATGCCTCTATCTATAATGACAACAATTCCACATGCCTTTTTAAAAGCTTGCTCAACTTATCCTGCACCTTCAAAAAACATGCCTGTGCAACTCCAAGGGCTATCCATTCTTGATCTCCCAATGGAATTATTCCATATGCACTCTGTCGTTTCTCCTGAATATTTCGGCCAAAGTCTCTGATTGAAATTTCACTTGCCATGTATCAGCCTATATCATGAATTTAGAACATAGAACATAGAACATAGTACAGCACAGTACAGGCCCTTCAGCCCACGATGTTGTGCCGACCTATTATCCTACTAAGATCAATCTACCCTGCATACCCTACATTTTACTATCCTCCATGTGTCTATCCATGAGTTGGTCAAAAGTCTCTAAAGTATCTGACTCCACTACCACTGCTGGCAGCGTATTCCACACGCCTACCACACTCTGTGTGAAGAACCTACCTCTGACATCTCCCCTATACCTTCCTCCAATCACCTTAAAATTATGCCCCCTCGTAATAGTCATTTCTGCCCTGGGAAAAAGTCTCTGACTATCCACTCTATCTATGCCTCTCCTCATCTTGTAAACCTCTATCGAGTCACCCCTCATCCTTCTTTGCTCCAGTGAAAAAAGCCCTAGCTCCCTTGACCTTTCCTCATAAGACCTACCCTCCAGTCCAGGCAACATCCTGGTAAATCTCCTCTGTATCCTCTCTAAAGCTTCCACATCTTTCCTATAATGAGGTGACCAGAACGGAACACAATATTCCACATGTGGTCTAACCAGAATAACCCCCCTTGATTAGCATCACATCCATTACCTTTCACACCTGCATGTTTGTGCTTTGCTGATGTCTGTTACTATCCTCGTCAATGTTCGCCATATTTGTGAGTTCTGTATCGTCTCCAAACTTTGAAGTTATGTCTGTGCGCTCAAGACCAATTCATTTAATTATACATGCCTCAAAAAAAAAGTAGAAGTCTTAGAATCTAACTCAAAATTGTCATGGAAAAGGTCAACGATGGACCTCAAATCAAAGCCGAAATCTTTTGTCAATTTTACTGATTTGGCCAGAGTGGACTGAGATACTTTGAGGTAAATCTGTGTCAAAGCAGTGGGACCCATTCAAGAAGGAAATAGGGAGAGTACAGGGCCAACATGTTGCAATAAAGATAAAGGGCAGAACCAACAAAACCAGCAAACTCTGGATATTAAAAGCCGAAACGTTAACTCTGATTATTTCTTCACAGATGCTGCCAGACCTGATGAGCTTTTCCAGCAATTTCTGCTTTTGTTTTGAACCCTGGATATTGAGGGATATATATTGGATCACATGGAAAAAGGGGGGCTTACGGCCAGTAGTGAGGGTCAAACCAGAAGAAGCCCTGGAGGAGTACAGAATGCCTAAGGGGACCTTCAAAGGGTATCAGGAGAGCAAAAAAAGTCTGTATTAAAGAATAATGACAGGTAAAATAAAATAAAATCCTAAATTATTTTACAAATACATTAAGGGTAAAAGGTTAACGAGGGAAAGAGTAAGGGAAAGAGTAATTCGGAGCCAGAGAATGTACATAGGGTTCTAAGTGAACACTTTGTGTCAGTGCTTACCAGTGAGAGACACAATGTGACAATAGAAATCAGGGAGGCAGACTGTAATATGACTAAAGAAATTAACGTAGACAGAGAGGACATTCTGAATGGTCTGGCAGGCTTAAATTAGATAAATTAAGTAAACCTCCGGGACCAGATGAAAGCCTGTTGAGTGAGGCAAGGGAGGAAGTGGCAGGTGCATTGGCGATAAATTTCGATTCCTCTCTGCCCACGCGAGAGGTGCCAGAGAGGACTGGAGGGCAGCCAATGTGGGACTGTTATTCACAAAGGGAGCATGGGATAAACCAGGAAACTGCGGGTCAGTCAGTCTAACCTCAGTGGTGGGGAAATTATTGGAGGGAATTCTGAAGGACAGAATTAATCTGCACCTTGGAGAGGCAGGGAAAAAGCAGGAGCAGGCAGCACGGTTTTGTTAAGGGGAGCTCATGTCCGACAACTTCGAATTTTGCAAAGACTTAACCAGGTGTGTAGATGTGTGTAGATGCATTTGATGTTGTCTGCTCGGATTTCAGCACAGTTTTTGATATGGTCCTGTGTGGGAGAGGTAAGAGTCCAGAGGGCCCAAAGAAGTTCAGCTAATTGCCAGAGTGGCAGGAAGCAGAGGGTGATGGTCGAGGGTTGATTTTGTGACTGGAAGCTCGTGCCCAGTGGGGTTCTGCAGCGATCAGTGCTGGGGCCCTTGCTGTCTGTGATGTCTGTATATAAGCCATTCAGACTTGACGGGTTGATCAGTAAATTGATCTCAAATAAAGTTGATACAAAAATTGAAGGGGTGGTCCATAGTGAGGAGGATAGCCTGAGATTACAGGAAGATATAGACAGGCTGGTCAGGTGGGCTGATCAGTGACAAATGGAATTCAATCCGGATAAATGTGAGGGGATTCTCTTGGGCAGGACAAACAAGGTAAAGGAATATATGATCCTGGGAAGCACCAATGAGGATCAGAGGGACCTTGGTGTGCATGCCCCTCAAGGTAGCAGGGTAAAGTAGTAAAGAAGGCTTATGGGCATACTTGACTTTTTTAGCTGAGACGTGGAGTTTAAGAGCAGCGAGATTATGCTGGATCTGTATAAAACATCGGTTCGGTTACAGCGAGAGTATTGTGTGCAGTTCTGGAATCTACGTTATAAGAGGGATGTAATGGCACGACAGGGGGTGCAGAGGAGATTTATCAGGAATGTACCTGGGCTGGAGAGCTTCAGTTATGAAGAGAGATTGGACAGGCTGGGGATGTTTACCTTGGAGCACAGGAGACTAGGAGGGGACATGATTGGGACGTGTAAAATTATGAGAGGCATGGCCATTGTAGGCACCCTTTGGTAGAAGGATCAATGACCCCAGGGACATAGATTTAAAGTAAAGGGCAGGAGGTTTGGAGGCGATGTGAGGAAACATGCTTCCACACAGAGGCTGGTGGGAATCTGGAACTCACTGTCAGTAAGAATGGGAGGGAGGGCCAGAAACCCTGACAATATTTAAGATGTGTATTTACAATGCCAAGGCATACAAGGCAATGTGCCAGGTGCTGGAAAACGGGATTAGAATAGTCAGATGGTTGTTTTTAATTGTCATAGACTCAAAAGGCTGAAGGGCCGTCTTCTGTGCTGTAGACTTCTATGGCTCTATGACTCTAACATTCAACCTCTGAGCAATACCAAGTTCCCTGAAAACAGAAAAACATCTGTTGAGCACTGCTCCATGTTTTCTGTCGCTTAGCCAATTTTATATTCACAAAGTCACCATTCCTTTAATCCCCTGGGTCTTTATTTTGGTAACTAGTCTATTACATGGTCCTTTTTCATGTCTTTTAGAAGTTGTGCTAATCAATATTGGATCTCAGTCCACAAACTCCTCCATGGTATCATCCATCACCATCTCTATAAAACAGTCATAGGCACACACACACACACACTCACACACACACACACTCACTGACACACACACACACTCCCACATAGACACACACACATACGCACACACACACACACTCACTCACACATACACATAGACACACACACTTACACACACATATAGACCTACACACACACACATACATGCACGCACAGACACGCACACACACATGCACGCACAGACACGCACACACTGATGCACACACATAGACACACACACACACACACACACACACACACACGCACACGCACATGCACACATATAGCCACACACACACACTCACACACACACATGCACGCACACACACACCTCCTGATGCTTGTTCTTCTTACCCTGGCCTCTTGCTGTTCCTATACTACCCTTCCAACACCTCACTCACCTATTGATAATGTCTAGGTCCCAAGTTCTGGAATTCTAAATGACCCCACATCTCCAACCCCCTCTGTTTCTTGAAAGACTCTGCTCAAAACCCACCACTTTGGCCAACATTCGAGTCACCAATCTGCATGTCTCCCATTTTAGTTCACTATGTATTTTCTGATTGCTGCTTAGTGAAGCACTTTAGGGTGTCGGGTCTTTTGCTGTGAAAGGCACCAGACAAATGCAGCTCATGTTGTTGATAAGTATGGACCAGCATCTACTGTAGCAGGAGGAAAATATTTGTTCAGCTCAGTTTTCCTTTGAGGATTCTCAATTCAATGGTCATGTGCTCACATCTTTCAAATATATGGGTTACTGTCTGTTCTGGGGGGGCGTTCTCGTTTTGGCATCATACCATCACTTGCCCATAACTCAACGAGGAGGCTTTTTGTCTGCATTGCTCTGCAGCCAAAAGAAATGCCGTGCCAAATCCACTCCAAAGTGACTCCCACGGACGACAGCTCAGGGCCAATGCTGCAGCAATGAGTAAGACCCATTCCTCCTCAACTGAAAACTCATCCATCCTTATCGGGAAGAAACCCCTACTGAAACTGGTGACTGGTGCCTCCAGTCTATTCAACCGTTGATACATGAGGGCCAGGTCATAAGATCATAAGACATTGGAGCAGAGATTAGGCCATTCGGCCCATCGAGTCTGCTCCACCAATTCAATCATGGCTGATAAGTTCCTCAACCCCATTCTCCTGCTTTCTCCCCGTAACCCTTGATCCCCTTGATAATCAAGAACCTATCTATCTCAGTCTTAAATGTACTCAATAACCCAGCCTCCACAGCCTTCTGTGGCAGTGAATTCCACAGATTCACCACTCTCTGGCTGAAGAAGTTTCTCCTTATCTCCGTTCTAAAAGGTCTTCCCTTTTCTCTAAGGCTGTGCCCTTGGATCCTAGACTCTCCTACCAATGGAAGCATCTTCCCAACATCCGCTCTGTCCAGACTATTCAGTATTCTGAAAGTTTCAATTAGATCCCCCCTCATCCTTCTAAACTCCAATGAGTACAGTCCCAGAGTCCTCAAACGTTCCTCATATGTTAAGCTTTCCATTCCTGGGACCATTCTCGTGAACCTCCTCTGAACCCGCTCCAGGGCCAGTACCTCCTTCCTAAAATCAGTCAGAAGTGCTGTCACCATGATAAATTAGTGCCAGGGAACTTCTATGTATTCAACCAGGCTGTCCCAAAAGAGGTCTTTGGGCAGGGATGAAGGGTGACTGCCTTTGCCCTCCCTCTTTCACAACAGCTCAAGGCTCATTGCATATAGAATCCCTATACAGTAACAGGCCATTCAGCTCTACACCGACCCTCCCACCCAGACCCACCCCTCTCTCCTGTACCCTTCCATTTCCCATGGCCAATCCATGTTTGTGACTGGGAGGAAACCAGAGCACCCAGCAGAAACCCATACAGACACAGGGAGATCACACAAACTCCACGCAGACAGTCGCCCAAGGCTGGAATTGAACCCAGGTCCTTAGCGCGGTGAGACAGCAGTGCTAACCACTGAGCCACTGTGCTTCCACAATGTCATTGAGCTTGATCATTGGATTTGATTAATTTGGTACAGTAAAGATGAAGGAACTGATTAATACCATACTGACCTACTTGACCCTATAGTTAGGAGGCAGAACAAAGGCTACAGAGTTCATTCAGATTGACTGCACATGTAATTTCATTTTCACATTTCGAGATTTTTAATGTGGAAAGAGAAGTACTAGGCAATCAACAAATCGCTTTGCTGAAATCTGTTTCAGGCAACTCTAAGTAATTTATTCACAGGATGTGGGTGTTGCTGGCTGGGCCCAGCATTTCTTGCCCATCCCTAGTTGCCCTTGAGAAGGTGGTGGTGAGCTGCCTTCTTGAACCGCTGCAGTCCACCTGCTGCAGGTTGACCCACAATGCCCTTAGGGAGGGAATTCCAGGATTTTGACCCAGTGACAGTGAAGGAACGGCGATATATTTCCAAGTTGTGATGGTGAGCGGCTTGGGGGGGATCCTGAAGGTGGTGGTGTTCCCATGTATCTGCTGCCCTTGTCCTTCTAGGTGGAAGTGGTCGTGGGTTTGGAAGGTGCTGTCTGAGGATCTTTGGTAAATTTCTGCAGTGCATCTTGTAGATAGTACACACTGCTGTTACTGAGCGTTGGTGGTGGACGAAGTGGATGCTTGTGGATGTGGTGCCAATTAAGCGGCTGCTATGTCCTGGATGGTGCCAAGCTTCTTGAGTGTTGTTGGGGCTGCACTCATCCAAGCAAGTGGGGAGTATTCCATCACACTCCTGACTTGTGCCTTGTAGATGGCGGACAGGCTTTGGAGAGTCAGGAAGTGAGTTATTCTGTGATTTAACTAAATTCAATTCTTCTTCATGCTTGAGGAAAAGTAATGAGATTAATTTCAAATTCGTAATCCACATCACAGCAAGGAAGCCCCTGTCAATGCTTGTGGCTGTGTTTTGCTTTATGCTTGCTGCCTCTGCCTCAGTCTAATCTAGTCCACAACCTCTAGTCACGGTGCATTTATCTCACAGCTGTCAAGGCCCATGGGACCAGAGGTGCCAAAGCAGCACTTGACAGCACTCCAATGGCTGCCTTCCTTCCCACTGGAGAGAACTTTCTTTAGCGTTTCTGTCAATCAACAAGAGTGGCAGCAGAAACACAAACTTGTTTCACGGCCAGTTCTGCTCCAGCTTTGGGAATTCTATTCCACTCCGAGGACACAGGGCGAGGACCGTTCCTATTGGGAAATCAACAGGAAGTTTCTCCTCCCTCACAGCGAGGTGTGAGCTATTAATCAAACAATCTAACTTTAGAATTGTTTGCAGTCCTATTTTTAACTACCTCGAGCGAATTACGGTGTTGAGATTTTCAAAAATTAGAATGGGGCTGTCGCTACACCCCATTAAAATACTGACCACATTTCTTCAATGTTGCAAAGAAACATAGGAAGTAGGAGAGGGAGTAGGCTATTCGGCCCTTTGATCCTGCTCTGTCATTCGATATGATCATGGTTGATCATCTTACTCAATCTCTCTTTCTCTCCCATGTCCTAGTCCCCTACCCAACACACCAGACCTTGTTACCACATAGCCTGCCATTGCACACTACCTATTGTTAGTCACTAACAGTCCCCATTAACAACTATTCACCCTCCCAGCCAGATCATTATCAGCTCCTTTGTCTGTCCAACTGCTCTTCTCTCTATTTAGGCTCTATCCTATCGTTTACTCCCTACCCCACCCTCCTCCTTATTTTCTGCATATAAACTGATGTTCTCCCAGCTACCATCAGTCCTGAGGAAGGGTCACCGGACCCGAAATGTTAACTCTGTTTTCTCTTCACAGATGCTGCCAGACCTGCTGAGCTTTCCCAGCAATTTCTGTTTTTGTCACTTTCTACCCATATCATTTGATCCCTTTAGCCCTTAGAACTATATCTAACTCCTTACTGAAAACATTCAATAGTTTGGCCTCAACGGCTCTTTGTCAGAGAGAATTCCACAGGCTCACCACTGTCTGGGTGAAGACATATCCCCTCATCTCAGTTCTAAATAACTTCTTCTGTTTCCCCAGACTGTGACCCCTGGCACCGCGCTCCCCAGTTTTCACAAACATCCTTCCTGCGGTTACCGTGTCTAATCCAGTTTGAATTTTATAGGTTTCTACGAGATCCCTCCCTCATTCTTCCAGACTCCTGTGAAAATAGTGCTGAGAAATATTGTAAAATAATGCCCTGTATTTAATCCACAGCAAAAGCCTTAGATCCACAATTATGTATGTCAGCTTCTCATGTTTCAAACCACTACAGGTACAATTCATCGCTTAACTATAAACCCAGAAGAGGCACCCACAATTTGTGCTGTTGGTTGAGTGGAGGCCAGTTGGACTAGAAAGGAGCTCTTCAAGAATGTGGGTTAGCTGGCATGATACAGAAGGTAAGAAAATATGGGACATCTTCAGGTTGGCCATATGTAACGAGTGAAGTGTCGGGGCTTCAACTATTTACAGTTTATATATTTTCTTTATTCATTCACGCGATGAGGGTGTCGATGGCGAAGCAGCATTTATTCCCATCCCTAATTGCCCAGAGGGCAGTTAAGAGTCACCCACAATGCTGTGGGACTGGAGTCATGTGTAGGCCAGACCAGGTAAGGATGGCAGTTTCCTTCCCTAAAGGGCATTAGTGAACCAGATGGGTTTTACTGACAATCAATAATGGATTCATGGTCATCATTAGATTCTTAATTCCAGATATTTATTGAATTCAAATTCCACTATCTGCCGTGGCAGGATTTGAACGCAAGTCCCCGGAACTTTATCTGGGTCTCTGGATTAACAGGCTAGCAATAATACCACTAGGCCTTTGTCTCCCTATTGTATCAATGACTCAAAGGATGTGCAGTTGCTGAATTCTGGAAGGGGTCTCGAACCTATGACCCTGAGGCTCAAACTGAGCCACTTGCTATTTCTCAAGCTTCCTTCACCACCATGCACCACATGTAGACAACAGAGGGCAGCAAACTGCTCAGGGCTCTTTGAGTGGGGTCTTTCATGTTCAAATTCAAAAGAAAAACAAGGACTAAGGTTTAAAAATCTTCCCCTGCACTGGAGAGGGTGCAGAAGAGATTTAGAATCCTAGAATCTATACAGTGTGCAAACAGGCCATTCAGACCATTGAATCCACACCAATCCTCTGAAGATCATCCTACTCAGGCCCAACCCCCTGCAGCCCTGCATTTCCCATGGCTAACCCACCTAACTTAATATCCCTGGACACTATGGACAATTTAGCATGGCCAATTGACCTAGCCTGCACACCTTTGGACTGTGGGAGGAAACTGGAGCACCCATGCAGACACAAGGAGAATGTGCAAACTCCACATAGATAGAGACCCGAGGGTGGAATCAAACCTGAATTCCTGGTGCGGTAAGGCAGAAGTACTAACCACTGAGCCACTGTGCCACCCCCATTTACCAGCCTGTTGCCTGGGCTGGGGAGTTTCAGTGACGGAGAGAGATTGGATATACTGGCAGACAGCAAAAACTGTAGATGCGGAATCAGAGTTAGCACTGAGTGGAGCTGGAGGAACACAGCAGGTCAGGCAGCATCAGAGGAACAGGAAAGCTGACATTTCAGGTCAGGACCCTTCTTCAGAACCAGTTTGAAACATTGACTTTCCTGTTCCTTTGATGCTGCCTCATTCATACTAGGGTTGTTTTCCTCAGAGAAGAAGAGACTGAGGGGAGAACATGATTGAGATGTATAAAATTATGAGGTGCAGTGTTTCTCCTTGGTAGACAGTCAATGACCAGGGGACATAAATTTGAGGTGATGGGCAGGAGGTTTGGAGGGGATGTGAGGAAAAATGTTTTCACCCAGAGGGTGGTGGGAATCTGGAACTCACTGCCTAAGGGTGGTAAAGACAGAAACCTTCACAACATTTAAGACATACATGTGCGATGCCACAGCAGACAAGAATATAGGCCTAGTGCTGGAAAATGGGATTAGAATAGTTAGGTGGCTGTTTTTGACCATCACAGATTCAATGGACCGAAGGGCCTTTTTCTGCATTCTAGATTTCGAAAGATGGAGATGCAGCTCTCCTTCTGTAGTGTTACCCCAGACTTGGTTCTTAAACCCTAGACAATGGCATACATCCATAAGACACCTTCAGAGAGCTACAAAGTGGGCTAATGTAACACTCATTTTGTTTTTGATGTGGTGATTTGCTCCTTGTTAAAACTGAGATAACTCCACAGAGGCCTGGTATCCCATCACAAGTCACCTTTTATTTACACGTGTGCATTGTACTTGACACTGGTTCGGCTCCCTCAGAACTAGCGCTGAGAGCGAACAGAACATCTAACACTCCCTGGGCTCCCCAGTCAGGGAACTCATACTCTCTGGGTGACCTCGTTATAATCACTACATCCCTCCCCCTCTAAGTACAGCGACATAGGCCTGTTCTTTCTCTTGTAGCCTCTCCTGGGTCGTTTACACATCGGGTCTGGTTCGTCCGACTCAGCCTCAGGTATGGGCAGCTAGTACTATTCTGTAGCCTGGACCATCTCGGCAGAAATTCATCTTCTTCTTCAGGCGGTAAAAGTATCGAGGCTGTGACATCCACCGTGTCCATCTCCAACTCTGAGGTTTCTTCAACGCTGGATGGAGGCAGAGAGCCCATGGATTCTGACAGCCTTGCCAGCTGTTCTGAGGGCCCGGGTACGTTTTGCTCCTGCCCTGTTTGTGAGTTTGCAGCTTTCATGTGGTCCACATGCCTGTTCAGGACCTACCCAAACGTTGTATTCACAGGCCCTGACCTTGCATTGACCATACCTCTTACCCATGCTGGGCCATTCCCATGGTTCCTACACCAAACTTTGTCCCCTGAAGTAAACTGTCTCTCTCACTTAGAGGGATCTTGTGCTCGGCATTGGCATTTCTGATGTCATTCAGAAGGTTCTGAGAAAGGATCAGCAGACCCAAAACATTAACTCTGATTTTTTTCTTCACAGATG